GGGGGGGGGGGGACATGACACGCACATGCAGCAATGGGGATGCGGGGACATCATCATATCCCCCTCCCTCCCCCCTCATGTGGCTTAGGGGAACACCAGGGGTAGTTCTCAGCTCCAAATGAGATCTGGTGGTTGTGGCCATCTACCTCCTCCACAAAACCATCTCAGCTGGACTGAATAGCCCTCCCAGCACCACTGGCACCCATGATTCAAAAGGTCCTGGCTGCTAGGGATGGGGTCCCCTCTACCACCTCCCTTCCTGTGCTTCATTTTTCCCACTTGTGGCACATGAACCCAAAGCAAAACGTTGGGACCACGTGCCATGTTGGTGTGACAACATGTTGGAATGAGCTGCTCCCTGCTCATTCTCAGGGCTGAGCATTGAGGAGATGAAAAGCAGCACAGCTTAAGAGCATGCTGGCGCTGCTGGGTGAGCAGGAGGGCCCCTCTCGTGCCTCTGTGCTAAACAGCATCGCCCACTGCATCCTCCTGCTGGAGCCAGAGTTGAGGGATGGTTGTGGGGGCCACAGTGTGTCCCAGCAGGGTGCTGCTGTCCCTATCCCCATCTCTATCCCTGTCCCCATTCTTGTTCCCACCTCCACTCCAGCCCACCTCTACTCCTATCCCCACCCCATCCCCATCCCCATCCCATCTCTAATTCTCATCCCATCCCAACCCTCCCACCCCCAGCCCTGTCCCTGCTGCTCTGTGGACCTACATCTGCTGCTGTCCTGCATGGATGACCCCAGTTGCCATCAGCCTGGTGCTCTATGAGCTGCTGCTACTGCTGGAAGTGCTGCTCAAGGGCTGTGCACAAATGTGGTGCACTGCAGTGCACAGCAGCACCGACACCTTCTCACTGCATGAGGCGCTGTTCAGGGACAGCTTATGGCTGACAGAGCTGCCGCTGGCCACGTCCTTACAGCCCGAGGAGGAGGTGCAGCTGCAGGCATGCAGGGTCATCCTCAGCTTACAGTTCTGCATGCTGGGCTGCAGCCTGGCAGCCACCACCACTGCCACCACTCTGAGTGACCACAGCTTCACCACCACCTTTGAGTTCCCCACATACCCCACTGGCTAGCTGAGAGCATTTCCTACCAACGGTGGTGCTGACAGCCAATAAATCCCCACTGCTATGACCAGCTGTCCTCCACAGCCTTATCTTGACGTGACCCCATTGCTTATTGCCCACCTGTGTCCCAAACCGATACCTAAATGCACCACACACACAGAACACATGAAGCCCTCCCTGTGCTGTCCCCTCTGCTCCACAGTGATGGCACGGCACAGGGCTCAGTGGGGGATGCTCTTTACTGGGACACACGTCTGTCACCGCGATGTGGTGGGGTCACGTTTGTCATAGCAGACCCCATAGTCGGTGTTGGTGATGGAGCCCACGATGCTCCAGTCGGCGTCGCAGGACAGGCCGTTCTCACAGGGACATTTGTAGTAAACCCCATAGGGGCTCTGTGGGGACAGATGCACGGTGGGGCAATATCCTTTGGGGCCACTCCTGGGCTGGGAACAGGCAGAGGATGCACAGCACCTACCTTCAGGGAGCAGTCCTGGGTCTCGGCAGCCTTCGGGCTGCACCGTGCCAGGCTCAGCCCACTGTCCCGCTGGCAGCAGCCGCTCTTGCACTGCGCACTCTGCAGGCACAGCTCTCCAGTGTCCTGCAGCATCAATGGAATCAACTCCCACCCAGAACCCCACACCCCCCAAAACTCAACTGACCCCACACAGCCGCATTCTTTCCTGCTGCCTCACAAACCTGGTGAACCCCCTCTCCCTCTATCTCCCCATCTGCAAATGAGTTTTTCTCTCTGTCGTGGGGCACCCCAAAATGTATGCTGAATAGTGGGGATGTGTGTTCCCCTATTACCAGGTTGAAGATGAGCCCCCGCTCACTGGGAGCGCCCAGAGCCAGGGCGATGAGCAGCGTGGCGAGCAGCAGGCGGAGGGGCAGCATCATGGTGGGTGCAGGTGGGTTTGGGTGCAGGTGGGTTTGGGTTCAGGTAGGTTTGGCTGCTTTATAGTCAGCGCCTGCCATGCTCCCTCCTATCGCACCTGGACTCGTGGCACCACACTGTAGCTCCAAGGGCAGTTGTATGGCACCGTGCTGTCTGCAGGTGCTGCTGCTCCTTCAGCCAAAGCAAATGTCAGATAACAGTGCTGCACTTCCCACAAGGGGATCTGCAGTGTCCAGAGAACAGGAACTGAACCTGCTGAGACGTGGGGACAGCTCTGGGAACGGTGCAGCTTTCAGCACTCGGCAATGATTAACGCCAGCATGGAGGTGGCCTTCTTTGGTGGCCTTAGGTGGCCTTCTTTGGTGGCCTTCGGTAGCCATGCAGTGACACTCAGGCTGGCCCTGGCAGTGGCCTCCCCAAATAGCACAAGGACAAAGCCCTTTGGTGTCTCTGCATCCTGTCCCCTCCCTGTTTGCACCACGTCCCCCACCTGTGGGGCACCAAGGTGACAGTGTAGGAGTACCGAGTTTGGGGTGCATGGCATGACCTGGGGGGCTGCTGGGAGGAACAGCACACATCCTATGGTGCACCCCAATGCAGGCAGCAAGGACACGGAGTGCAAACAGGGGGGGTGTCACCTCCTGGCCACACTGTGGGGGCATAAAGTGCATCGTGGGGACACATATCTCATGGGGGAAGGATGTGTCCTAGGGACACTTCCCAGGGGCATGGGCTGTATCCTGGGGTGACAACCTGAGGTTGGACCTGTGGGCACAGAGTGCATCCCCGGTGGGGGCACAGGGCTCACTCCAGGGAGGCTTTCATCCCGAGGCCGTTGGGCACATCCCGGAGGTGGGCACATCTCAGGGGAGAGGCTCCTGCCGGGGGGGGCATCATTCCAGAGGGGGAGGGTCTCGTCCTGGGGCACTGAGCTCATCCCGAGGGGGGGGGCGGGAGCACATCTCGGGGGGTGTCTCACACCGGCTGTCTCACCCCGCGGGAGGAAGGAGGCGGTCTCACCCGAGGGGCTCATCCTGGGCCCGGACCCGCGGGCGCAGAGCGCATCCCGGCGGCACCTCCCCGCGGCACATCCGTCCATCCATCCCCGCGGTACATCCATCCCCGGGGCGGTCCCGGCCCCGCGGCCCTCCCCGCCCCGCACCGCCGCTCTCCGCTCTCATCTGGCGCTGCGGGGCCCCGGGAGGCGGCGAACCCCCCCGTTTTCCCCCCGGCCATGCCCAAGCTGCTGCCGGCTCAGGAGGCGGCGCGAATCTATCACACCAACTACGTGCGAAATGCACGGGCCATGGGTGTGCTGTGGGCCCTGTTCACGCTCTGCTTCTCCATCCTGATGGTGGTGACCTTCATCCAGCCCTACTGGATCGGCGACAGCATCGACACGCCGCAGGCTGGCTACTTCGGCCTCTTCTCCTACTGCATCGGCAACGCGCTCACTGGAGAGCTCATCTGCAAGGGAAGCCCGCTGGATTTCGGTACCATCCCCTCCAGTGCCTTCAAAACGGCGATGTTCTTTGTGGGCATCTCCACCTTCCTCATCATCGGCTCTATCCTCTGCTTCAGCCTCTTCTTCTTCTGTAACGCCGCCACCGTCTACAAAGTGTGTGCCTGGATGCAGCTGGCGGCGGGTGAGCGGCAGGGAAAGGCACTGCGCTATGGGGGGGTGGGCGTGGGGTGGGTGTGGGGTGGGCTCCCTGGAGCGGTGGGCACTGGGACATTGGGACACCACTGTCAGCTATAAGGTTTGCATTCTTTCCCCATGCCCCCTCCCAGCACGTCAACACCTGATCTGCTGGTAACCCAATCCAACCCAACTTGCGCAGCTCCTGCATCATTCATGGTGTCCCTGCACTCCCCAGGTGGTTCTGGGGACAGGCGGCCGCGTAGGTTTGCTCCAGTTCCCAGCTTGAGCTCAAATGAAGATTTAGATAAGAGGCTTTGGGGCAGCTCAGCCCTGCAGGGAGCTGGGCATGGAAGGGCTTTGCTGCTGGATTCAGTGCTTTAATGGACATTTTTGTGACCACCATTCATGGAGCCAAAGTGGGGAAGGTCACTACAAGGTTTGGGCTGTGCTGTACCAAGTGTTTTTGTCCCCTCCAAACCTGTTCCCCAAGCTCTGTCTACTCTTCCTTTCGCTCTTCCATGTAGCTCAGTCTCCTAAGTGCAGTTCTTTCCAATGCCTGGCACTGCAAAGCCAGGAAACAGCAGCAGTTCCATCTCTGTGCCCGCTCCATGCTGGTGCCAACCTCCACCAGGGCAGCAGCTCCTTTCCAGCTGCCCTCACCTCCCTGTGCCCCTCCTTTCTGTTGACTACAGCAAAGCTTAATTAAATACACAACAAAGCAGCTGCTTCTGAATTGTAAGAGATGCTCTGTGCTGTCCCAAGGAGCTCCCCATGCCTGGGGACAAAGCCTAAGCGCAGCACAGAGCAGCTCCCCTCGCTCCATGCACCACAGCAACAGCAGTGACTTCTCTGAGCACAAGGATGCAGAGGGCAAAATGCACCTGGAGGGGCCGGGAGCTGCACTGCACAGCAGGAGATGTCCCCCAGGCAGCTGGTGCTGTGTTCGCATGGCACAGCCGTGCACACACGGAAGCACAGCTCCCAGCCCCGCTGGAACCGCAGCAGCTGAGCAAGCGGCATCAATCTGCATGCTGTGCTGCTGCCAGCAGTGAGACAAAACCCAGCTGTGCACAGAGCAGCAAGGTTGCACAAACACACCATGTTCCAGCTTTGCTCAGAGGCTGCATCTCCTTGAAGAGAGAACTCTGTTATGTGCAGTGGTTGGAGAGGAGCAAAGTTGCCCAGGCAACAGCGTGATTGGAGCTGGGGCAGTGGCCTGGGCAGTGGATGGGAAGTCAGTGCTGTACCACACCCATGCTGCTCTTTCCATGTGCTGCATTGTCTTCACACTGTGTTGTCCCTGTACTGCTCTGTCCGACTGTTCTATCGTGCTCATGCTGCATCATCCCAACACTGTTCTGTCTCTGTGCTGTTTTATTATCAACTACATTGTCCCCTGCTGCTCTTTCCATGTGCTGCATCATGCCCATACTGCTTTGCTCTTGTGCTGCATTGTCCCCATGCTGCTCTGTCCCTGCACTGCAGTGTCCTCCTGTAGCACCATCACAAAGGGAGCAGAGCCCTAGCCTCCATGCCACACCGATGCCCTTCAGCCAGCGCCAGTGATCGATGTTCTCACACGCCATTCCCCTTTTGCCTTGCAGCCACTGGGCTGATGATCGGGTGCCTCATCTACCCTGACGGCTGGGACTCGAGCGAGGTGAAGCGCTTGTGTGGGGACAAGACAGACAAATACACGTTGGGCGCCTGCACGGTGCGCTGGGCCTACATCCTCTGCATCATCGGCATCCTTGATGCCCTCATCCTCTCCTTCCTGGCCTTTGTGCTGGGGAATCGCCAGGACAACCTCCTGCCATCGGATTTTAAAGTGGAAAGCAAAGGTGAGAGCAGCAGGATGGGGTGGGGGAGGTGAACCTTTTGGAAAACAAAGCTGAAGAACACACCTGTACCTTCATTACGAGCATTATTAGAACCATGACCCACTAACACAGTGATTACTTTTGTTTTACAGAGGAGGGCAATGAATGACAGCACTGATCACTGTGTGACTGCTACAGTGATTCTGACGTTTCTTGCACGTGCAACACCACCAGCACGGCTGCAGGATTACTGGTGCTGTATTCAGATGGAGTTTGTTTGGGGCTGAACGGGAAACAGGCTTTGCTTTGCCTCCATCTGGGAGAATGTAAATCCTTGCCAGGTGACAGCATAAAATGTGATGCTGTGCTCTACTCGGCAACAGCGACTTCTCTCCCAGGGCTACCTGGAGCTCTTTGCATCACTTCAGGAGATGTGATTCTTTCGAGTGACTTTTCCTATGTGTACCATTACCTCTGGACTTTCTACGGCTTTCAGCTCTCATGGAATTTGTGTGATGGGAAGAGACTCACGGGACATCAGCTTTTGTTGGTTTTTTTTGTTGTTGGTTTTTTGGGTTTTTTTTTTGAGTCCATAGGGGGAGGTCTGGGGCCACGATTTGCTGTCTCTTGGGGTTTGTACATCTTTTGACAAAATGACATCTGAATTAAAAGCTGGTCTTTTGGATTGTGTGCCGTCTCCTTGACGCATGGGAATCCCTCCGCCACGGCCAAGGCTGACCGTGTCACCTCCTGTGCCTGAAAACTCCAACCCGAGCAAAAGCCGCGAGAACAACGCGGCCCTCGAAGGGCACTTAAAGCAGCCCTTGCGCACCGCTGCAGTACCGCCGTTGTACGGCAGGTGGCGCCAGCACCACCGCCCCGCAGTTCCGCGCTGCCCGTTGACTCCGCGCTGCGGAGGGCAGCAGAGATGGCAGAAAGACACGTTAGAATAGCAGCCTATCCCGCTATCCAACACTTCTTCCCCCCTTAAAAAATGGATCATAATATGGACAAGATGTTCTACCAATGCCCAATCCAGTGAGTCTCAAGTGTAGAGAACTGGAACCACACACCTGTATACACCTAAAGGGCCTGGAGCTGAGAAAACAGACCTGCAGATGGAACATAGGGAGACTACGGCTGAGTAATTAAATAGTCTGTTTATTGTATAGCTTTCACAAAGAAAGACGACGAAGCACCCAAGTAGAAAGAATAAAAATGTATTTTCCTTCAGGTTTTAGACTGACACAGCAAGTACAAATCCTTTGTGAGCACTTTACGGCAATTTGGGGACTTAACAAACCCAAAGGGAATGAGCACATGGAACAAGGCTGAACCCTGACAGCTGCTGCTGCAGTCTCCAACTCACACGTTGGCTCCATCCTCAGCAACCAGGGTAAAAAAGTGTCCTCCTGCAGGTGTGGGAGGAGGAACTGCGGCAGGAAAGGAAGGAGCTCTGAATGTGCAAAGCTCTTCCAAGAAAAGTTGCTGCACTAGCCGGGCTGAAGTACAACAGGATGGAATGAGCTGTCAAGACAACAGAAATCATTCGCCCTGCCAATATATCTTCACAGTCTGTACGTGGTGGGTGTTTTGGAATCCAGTCTTGACTGCAGTCCTTCTGTAACAGACATGGAAGTGATACGTAGCTGGAAAAGCTCCAAACAGAAGGGAAAGAGAGGTCAAATCTGCAGTTTAAACCCATTTGGTATGTTACCTTCATTAATTTTAGATTATATGCATAGACAATCCGACCTACCCCTAAAAGAACATGCAGCATGATCTGTGTTAATTAGCCCAGTCAGGCACTAGACTGGAGCAACTCTTTAAGTGGATTAAATGACACAGATGTTTATGAATGAACAACTCTCATGAACCAGGACTTTCAACACACAAAGTGACAGTAACAGCCATCTTGGCAGCTTTGGCAACACAACAATCTCAGATCACATCTGTGCAGCCTTCAGTGAGCTCCTAGAGAAACTTCCGTGCTCTGAGAGCCACCACGAATCCATAGCCCCATTTGGTCCAGGGAGAGGACGTGTCTCTGAAGCCTCAACACTGCCAGCTCTTACTTTAGAGTTGGATGCACTGAATCTGCAGTAGAATGGGTAAGCCTCAAATAAGTCATCATAAAACTATTATACGCCACAGTGATTTAGATTTAATTAAAATTAATTCATTTACTTATTACATCCAACCCCCTCTGAGAAGTTAATACAGAAATCTCACAGAGCATTTTGATTTGGGGTAACTCTACAAGCAGCTAAACCAGTATCTACAGAGGAAAGTCCATCAGCTCTCTTCCACCCCTCCTTGTGCTAATGGCCCAGAAAACAAAAGGCAATCCCAATCTGGGAAGTTATTCCTGAAGGCCATCACCTGAAACAAATTAAAAAAAAAAATCTTAATATCAGGCTTTCAAGTGTTGAATTTTGAAGTCAAGGGTGATAGCATAGCTGTGATACAGATGCTGCCCACTCTTTCTGGGAAAAAATGTGAATGGTCAAAAGGGCCAGAGCAGACCGCATTAGTGAGAACCACTCTCTCACTGGTGCAGCAACTACCTCAAGCAAGGCATAAAAGTGCCAGGAAGGGATAAAAAAAAGAATGTACAGCTGGCTAAAGCATGAGAAGTCACCTGCATCACCTCTCTGCAGCCGAAGGGCGCGCCTATCTGCATGCTGAAGGTTGTGCGTTGATTAAGTTCCAGCTTTTGCTTTTTTTGCTTGTCACCTTTTAGTCACAGGCTGAGGTGTTAAAGAACAAGTAGAAAGCGTCACTGAATTCAGAAACTATTCTGACTATGCGGACAGGAGGGACAAGTAAAGGGAGAGGGCACTTTAGAGGAAGAAGCAAATAATACTAAAAATCTAGATTTAAATAGCTCATCTCAAGAGATTTAAGCAGCTAGAACTAAAGAATTATGTGACTGAAAAGCAATGAATACAGCAGACACCTAGAAAACGTTGAAGGATTTTGAGGTCTTTGCTCTACAAGGAACTAACACCACCATGGTGCCATCTGTTACTTCTCACCCCATTGCTAGCTACTGGACCAACAGTGGGAAATTGACTCCTGAGTCAGTGAGATGAGTTCAGATCTTCACATCCTCCTTATGATTAAAGGAGAGTTGAGATTTAGTTAAAGGAGCATATCTGAGCATACATCCATAACACAGTGCATACCATACAAGACGACTCAGGGAAAAGTTGATGTTTTAGTCTATTAGTCTTTGGTGAAGCCCAATCAAGGCAAAACAAAGATGACGCGCACTGGATAAGGAGAGTCCTCACTGAGTCACTCAGCAAACTCAGCAGAATGGGTTAGATTTATCTAAAATCTTGGAAGCCTTGAAGGAAGAACTTCACGCTCAAACTGAATAAGGAAAAAAAAAAAAAACAGATCTGGGAAGGGGCAGCTGGGTGTGTGTATCCTATACTGTAAACCAGAGTGCAGCGCAGTGGCACTGGGTTGAAGCTCCTAAGAGAGAAGCCAGGGGTGCCTGAGACATTCTGCTGCTGTGGCTCGCTTCTCTGGGATCAGCTCCAACATTGGTAGTAAGAAGTCTGTGAATGCAGCTGCCTCATCCTGGGACCATTCATATTTTTCCACCAAGACTTCGAAAAGGCCCCAGGGCTTCAGTTTAGTGATGTGCTTCAGATCACCTGAAAAGCAAGACATATGTTAACTGCAAGGCATGGTAGTAGAACAGCCAAATAACCAAACTAACAGCAAGCAGCACAGACTGAATTCAAAAAGCTCTCCCTAATAGTTAAGCGTGGGGTAGATAAAACTGTGGGGCATGCAGAAGGAAAACTACACTAGAACCTCTTGCCTCCTCCAGTCTGAAAACGTTACAGTTGGACCAGATGACCTTGGAAGTCTTTTCCAGTCCTGGTGATTCTATGATAAACATGTACAGCACTGTTTTTCAATCTGCTGCATTTGATCTACAACCAAGATGTCAAGAAACAAGGCACCGTGTATTTTTAGCAATCAGGCAAGGATATTTTATATTTAGCTGCAGTTTTGTCTTTTTTCTTTTTTCTCCTCCGGAGAAAGCCTCTCATAAAACAGAGAGACTTTAAAAGAGCCATCTTTGCTAGCATCTATTGTTAAGAGCTATTTTCAGCATGGTACTTTTGTTTATTTGGGTGTGGGGCAAAGGGAAAAAAAAAAAAAAAAAACAATATTTGCTTCATTTCCTTTTACCTTTTTTGGTGAAAAACTCCTTGGAATACTTTCCTGCCAAAATGAGCTTGCGAGGTATTTTCCCCAGAAGTTCTATGATCAAAGCAATGTGATCTGCATTTTTTTCCAAAAGAAAAGACAGTATAACATATCCACAAAAGACATCTTTCTGTATGTCACAGTTTCCTTTCCTGGAACACTATGGACAAAGACACAATCTCCCTCAAAAACTACTTGGGCATCCACCCAAAATCAGATTACAACAGCAAAGACAAGAACTCAAAGTATGAGGATGAAGAGATGCAGGAATGATGAGTTAGAGAAGCAAGATAAGAGATTCTAGGAGTTAAAGGAATGGAAGATACCAGGAACAAGAATGTGAACTTCTACTGCAAATGGTCAAGCACAGCAGCTCCTTAACATCAATAATTTGGCTAAATGATTTTACATTGTTCATAAGAGAAGGCTCTCATTCTGAAGAAGGATTTGTTATTTTTCATATCCTATTTCCAAAAATAGACTTAGATAAATGTACCTTCATCTCGTGAGTAGTCTTCTCCAGAATGAGGCTCAAACAGATAGTCTCCTGTTGCTAGTTCAAAGGCCTAAAACAGAAATAAGCAAAATTAAATCACTTTAATGCACTTCACATGTTGCTAAAGTACTACAGGTTGATTCTACCTGCCTCTGCTCACCAAAACAAAAGCAGACGAAAATAACCTGCACAAGTCTAGTATGCTATTACCATCTTAAGATCGTTCTGTAGCACTAAAAACATCACAGACATAGCTATGGTAGATTTTGGAACAGATTTTCTAATGATTTCAAATATGCAGAGAACGTATGAGATTAGAATACTAAGACATCTGTGAAACAGTGCAGAAACTGGATGCAGCAAGAAGGTCCTTTATATAAAAGACTCTTGTCTTCAGAATTGCATAGTCATCTTGCCCTTCAACAAAGCATGACATTACAGTTCAGTTCTATTTGAACTCCGCTAGCATTGTACAACAAAACCCTAACTTTCAAAAGTTGCTGGGTTTGTCTGTGTTTCATTGTTTTTTTTTTATTATTAGTTTTTTTGCTAAACCTGGCTAGTGATTCAGCAGACTGCAGAGTGCACAGAGCACACAAGTTTACCAGAATGCTTCACAGCAGCAGCCTACAATCCCCTGGATGCCAGCACTCACCATACAAGCCGTGCTCCAGATGTCAGCAGGGGTGCTGTACCCTGACCCTATCAACACCTCCAAGGATCGGTACTGTCTTGTCTGGATGTCTTCAGTGAAGTGCTTGTGCTAAACAGAAGAAACATTTTACTGAGATTGTTTAAAGGAGAACAACCAATAGCCTGAAAGGCCAGAGCAGATCAAAGCTCATTTCCATTAAATTTCACCTAAGCTGCAGATCTTTGTTAAGTTTTTCCTTATATTCCTACAAGGACCATTTAACTGCTCTACATGAGACATTACTTTAGTAAAG